TTATTAACCCATTCCTCTGATTTTTATGGTACTAGGCACAAAGGCATGAGTAATCAGTTTTTACTATAAAATTATGAAGGGCAAGTACCTCTATCAATTTTCTCATAACCCATCTCTAGCCCAGGCTGCACAATTATACTTACCGAAGACAGAATAATTTATCTGGAAGAAACTTTATTATAGGTAATGATGCACAATCCCCTCCCCCCTCCAAAAAACATAACTTCAGATCACAGGTTATGTCTGCATCTAGAAAAAATATAATTTATAAAGTGAGCAAGAATAAAGTGAGCTCTAGAATATTTGACCTACAGTAAAGAAATAGCCCAAAATGTTATTTATAAAATCACATTTGCAAGAAGTATGAGTAATAAGCAGGAAGAACTGGAAATACTAATAAATAAACACAACTATGACATCGCTGGTATCACAGAGACTTGGTGGGATAATACACGATTGGAATATTGGTATAGAAGGGTACAGCTTACTCAGGAAGGATAGGTGGGGGAAAAAGGAAGGAGGTGTTTCCTTATATATTAAAAATGTATACACTTGGACTGAGGTGGAGATGGACACAGGAGACCAATGTGTTGAGAGTCTCTGGGTTAGGCTAAAAGGGGTAAAAAACAAGGGTGATGTCATGTTAGGGGGTCTACTACAGGCCACCTACCCAAGTAGAAGAGGTGGATGACGCTTTTTTAAAAAAAACTTAACAAAATCATCCAAAGCGCAGGATTTGCCGGTGATGGGGGACTTCAACTATCCAGACATATGTTGGGAAACTAAATCAGTGGGGCACTGACTATCCAGTAAGTTCTTGGACTGCATTAAAGATAACTTTATATTTCAGAAGGTTCAAAAAGCTACTAGGGGGAGCTGTTCTAGATTTGATTTTAATAGATAGGGAGAAACTGATTGAGAATTTGAAAGTGGAAGGCAGCTTGGGTGAAAGTGATCATGAAATCACAGAGTTTGTGATTCTAAGGAATGGTAGAATGGAGAACAGCAAAATAGAGACAATGGATTTCAGGAAGGCCAGTTTTGGTAAGCTCAGAGAGCTGGTAAGTAAGGTCCCATGGGAAGCAAGAATAAAAGGAAAAACAACTGAAGAGAGTTAGCAGTTTTTCAAAGGGACATTATTAAGGGTCCAAAAGCAAGATATTCCACTGCATAGGAAAGATAGAAAGTATGGCAAAATACCATCTTGTCTTACTCAGGAGATCTTATATGATTTAAAAATAAAAAGCAGTAATATAAAAAGTGGAAACTAGGACAAATTACAAACGATGAATATAAGCAAACAATACAGGTATGCAGCGGCAAGTTTAGAAAGGCAAGGGAACAAAATGAGCTCAATCTAGCTAGAGACATAAAGGGTAACAAGAAGACATTTTACAAATACATTAGAAGCAAGAGGAAGACCAAGGACAGGGTTGGCCCATTGCTCAGTGAGAAGGGAGAAATAATAACAGGAAACTTGTAAATGGCAGAGGTGCTTAATGACTTCTTTGTTTTGGTGTTTACCGAGAAGTCTGATGAAGGAATGCCTAACATAGTGAATGCTAGTGAGAAGGAGGTAGGTTTAGAACAGGGGTGGCCAAACTGTCACAGGCAAAGAGCCAAAATAGTGGTAGACATAGCGCAAAGAGTCGAGGGGAAAAAACTGTTGATCAAAAAAAACTTCCCGCCGCTCACTACCCACCACCCACTGCATTTAGTTGAGCCATAAAAAAAAAGGATGCTGCCCCTTTAAATGAAAACTCCAGTCTGACTTTTTGGCCACATCAAGCTCCCGGCGGCCATCTTGCTGGCGCCATTTTGCTTTGCCACACCAGACAGCTCAGCACAGGGAGCATCTGGTGAGCACCGGGGGGCCAGAGGCAGCTTTGCA